CGAAGTAGGTATCAATGAATAAATCCTCTCATTAATGCTGTTTGTAAAAGAGCGCAATATATTTTACTCAACTTCACCGACCGCTACTTAATCAAAGCCCCATCCATAACCAATGACCTGTACCTTACGGAGGCAGAATTTTAATGTTCCGTGTAACCCAGATCATAAGTTGATTAAGCAGAAGTCGAGATACTTAAAAATAGTTCTTTTCTTGGGCGCATTCAACTTCATTGAACCATTTTCCATGGCCCCTACAATATGAACTTTATTTAATTATGGTATGGTCAAGTAGTTTTATATTTTAAACTCTTAATGAAAATCTTGGAAAAAATTTAATGTAATCTCAAAGGTTTTTTAACAAAAGAGTAAAATGACTTCCCGCTGATTCCGAGCAACGTTTGAACCTGATCCTTTTGCAGCCGTACAACTAAGAAGTTCTATTTAAGTTAAATAACGCTCGGCAATCTAGTTCATTGTTCCTTCTTGACGAGATTTTAATTTAACAAGAAAACAGCCAAGTTCTCTTCATTTTCTAAATAGTTATGCAATTTCAACGAGCGAGCTACGGAATAAATCGAGGAAATTGTAAACAAAAGCAAAAATGGCATTGCATCATATAACAATCCTATTTTATTTATTTATTAGAAATCTCTTAACAGTGCAAAATTCCACTTGAGAAACGTCTCCGTTTCTCATAGGCCAGTGAACATTACTCTGTGAGAATTGCAGCCACGGAATCGCAGTACTGTGAAAAATGTAATTCGCTCGGACACCAATCGTTTTCGCACGTCTGTCTAATCCGTAACAAATAGATTGTACAGATATCGTTACGCTTTTCCTGCTTGCCAATCGCACGCTTTCCGCTATGTTGTGGTTTTATTGAAAGGTACACATAGTTACACACAGCTACGTGAGTTTAAAACCAGTTTAAAAACTACAAATAGGCCTAGGATTTTGTTGTTTGTTGGTTCATCCCTCACTCGTATGTTGCGTATTTTTATACATGAGTACATAATATTAGCGATACGGCTGGCTAATTATATGATTGCAAATAATCTTTAGGTACAATCACATCACTTAAGTACCTATTGCATATCATTTATTTAACGAGTACTGTTGTGATGTATAGGTACTGATAGTTCATTTAAGTCGACCAACATTAGAAACTATAGAAATAAAATCTCTTGCACCAGTGTTCAAAAATATTCTATGATGATTGCTGTTTGCTATCCTCGTCGTTTTAACGTTTGAATTAAATAAGCAATTTATGTACCAAAAATTACAATACGATATAAATGGTTATCGCAGAATGTTCTCGTTTTATATTTAAAAGAAGTGTCAAGATCGACCATCTGAGTTCGGACAGAAGCTCCCGCAAGAGAATCGATAGATGAGGCTGAACCCGCCGCCCGATTCCGAAGCCGATCTCACGGAACACTGGTTTCGGTTACTCTCAGCCTCTACCAATAGGCACGAGACAATCCTATTTTTATTTTCGTAATAACCACTTATTTTAGTTTCTCTTGGATCATAATAAATGCTTATAATTTTTATTTAAGTAAGTACAATGGTTGAACAATAAGCTACTAAGATCTATCACACAGGCAATGTTATTCAATTAGGTATACGTATGTAAACCCTAAAGTGTCGTACTAATAAGGCACGTTAAAATTATTTTTTAGTTAATTTTAATTGATACTAAACCACATAAACAAAAATTAGCTTGATAGACGTGTCGTACAATAAGTAGGCATCTCTAAAGGTGTCGGGCCTCGCGTGTAGCTTTAGGCAGTCGCAATCGAGGCAGCCCCGGCCCCACATGTTCCTCTGCGGCTGCTGTTACAGAGCTTTGCTGTTTCTGGCAGGTAGGTACTTCGCATTATCCACCTTTACCTGTAAAAATAAGTGTTCGCCATCCGCACCGCAGCACATAATATGTTAATTATAACACCGAAAATAACATGTGGTCGTTGACACGTGTGGAATAGTTAGTCATATTTCACGCAAGTAAAGTGTGCTACCACTTATTAAGTTAATCTTTGGTGAAACCTCATTCTGTTAGCGTATTGTCTTTTAGCTCTTATTCGTCACTCAATAGTCGGTAACTTATGTGTTGATTCCGAATCTATATGCTGAGTATTTTGCAACCTTGTCAGTAGAACGAGTTTTAATTTAGGATGCGTTTACTCTGTACTATGCAAACTTTGATTAATGTATTTTTGTGCGTTCCGCTTTCGGTTTGGCATGAATCGAATGTTTACCGTGTGTCTGTTTTACATGATCATAATAATACTTGCTATATTTTCTCTCTTTTTACTATTAAACTTTAACGTGGTCTGGTGAATTGTGGCTGTAAATATAACATGCGATAATTATAATACAAAGTAGTTCTTAAATACAAAAAGTTCCTAAAAAAATGTATTTTCGATACTTTTCAACTCGGTAAGTAAAATAACTATTCACCAAATATGATCGTAAAAAAGATACCAGAAAATATTTTCTATTGCCATCGCCTTTGTTGTTTGACTGATCGAAACAGACTGTTTTACTATTTACGAGGCATTCAGTCAAAATCCATTGTTCCATTTTTGTTTTACACCCTGATAGTGAAAGATACCCGGTTGTAATATGGTAAAGTGCACAGGCGGGTATTGACGTTGCACTCAACAATCACAGTGGGTAGGGTTTTAATCAACGTATGTGTCATTAGGTTTTGGCAAATGGAAACTGCAGGATTTTTAAAGCTCTACGATTATTATGGAAAAAAACATTCTGAAAATGTCTTTATTTCTGGAGATTTAAAATGATATACAACGTGTTTATTGAGGCTATAATAGAAACAACTTAATAGTAGCCGTTATTAGCTTTAATACTTCGTATCACCTTCATAGTTTATGGACACAATCATCGCTGGACGGCGCTTAGTCTATAATCGTGTTAGCATGTTCCCCTTAATAAACAAGACAAAGTTTTACTCACAATAGCTGGCCTATTTGGTTGTCAGGTGCGGGCCATAGTCGCGTCCGACGTGTCTATAACCTGCACTGATTTCCAGGCCCGTGATATTATTGCTTGTGATGCAAATGCATCCACGATAGCCACAATGATGAAGAAAATTGGTACAGCGCTGTTGTATTGTACTGTAAAATTAATCGGATTTTACTCCACATTTTATAATAAATTTAGTTCCCCTTAAACCCTTTTTGTAGTCGTTAAATAAGTTGATCCTTCGCTTATTATCGTTTGACACAATAAAGCTATATCGCCTCCTTAACCACGAGCTACATTATTAAGATCAGAACCGCTTAGTGCACCGCCCGCATACATGCAAAGTTACAACAAATCCGATATTATAGGTAAAATGAAATCATGAGATAGGTCTAGCTTTTTATCCCGCTAAAAATATTCGTAGGCAACTCAATATATGCAATTTTATGCAGTTCCAAAGAATAGCGCAAAAATCCAGTTCCAAAATTATTTTCCGCGTAGAAAAGCCTATGCAATATTTTACTAAGTTAATGTCGATCAATGTAGTATATTTTATAATAGTGAAAATATTAACAGAAAATTAAAGTGGATCTGTGAAGTATCCACACTATAGGTAACGTGATTAGATCTCACCAAAGCTGTTGATTGCACCCCAGTAATTAATTATTTGTCGAATGGCGTTGCGAACCGCTTTGTGTTTAATTGTTATCCGTTGGTCATCCCAGTTAAAGAGGAAGTTGGCTATATTTGGAAATGTTTAAAAGGTTGCGTAAGTACCTAATGAAGCCCTTAATGTACCTACAGGGTGTTCAGTAAACAACCGTACTCTTCTCTGGACGTCCCTAGTTTAGTTTTCCAGTTTGTTATACAAAACTTTGACTTTGGCCTTTTACTATTGTTTGTTAAAATTAAAAAGTGGTTCTTATATTGAAATAGTCATAACAAAAACTGTTTTCAAATGAGCTTATTTTTATTTATCTTTGTCTGTAATTTCAAGAATGACAGTCAGTGAGTGTGATGTAGTTTGACGCTGTACCTTGTTACCGTTGCGAATCATGGCCAAGTGTGGGATTCTGATTATGCTTTATTAATTTTGCGTCTGCGAAACTATCTACTCACAAACTTTTGTCAAAGACGTTGAAACGGTTTCTCAGATCACGTGAGTACATGTTTGTATGTACATAAATATATGTATATACAATTGATTATTTAAAGGTATGGAGATAAATATCAGTAAAATGAAAATTAATGTAGAGCATAACTACGTGTGCCCTTTACCTTTGTTCATTATCGTCAATAGGTACAATAAAGTGCAAAAAAAATCATTTACTGATTAATGTCATCCTAATAGATATTTACTATACTATCAGAGTTGGTTCTATATTTAGTTGAAACCGTTTAGACATCACATATTCATCACGCACTATTGGTATTCGAACGTAGGACAGGACTCTATCACGATGCATAAGTTAATAGCTTGTAGCAAGCTGATGCGTGCCCTATTCTCTTAGACTGCTCAATGCAATCCATTTAGGCGGAAATCTCGGCTGCCACTCAACCGTACACGTTGCTAGAGAGGTAGTTTGGCTTGGGCAGATAATGGTACACTATCTACCACTGTCAGCTAGAGCTTGAAAGCACAATAGCCACACACAATTGCAGTCTTGTATGAATGAGCATTCAGCTATTTGAAACAATTAAGTAAATCTAAACAATTATTGAACCAAATTAGCAATATTCGAAAAATAATTACATACTATTCGCACTATCGTCCTACATCGGTTCAAATGCCCAATAAATCCCAAAATTTAGCTTTTATAGTGTTCACAGAAACCTTACATATAAAGTTACCTACTCCAGTCTCCGCTATGTTGGAAACTAAAGGGAAATCTGTTTAGACTTGATAAACATTGGAAAGTTTTCACAATTCGTAGACGTTTAAAACGTCGCTCTCTATTGTCTAATAATTACGGTTTTCTTGGTTAGTATAAAGTGTTTATTCTTTGTTGCAGAAGCCTCCAACTCGGACCCGGGCGGCAGCGTCAGCGCCGCCAGCCCAGTGAAGCAACGAAAGGCGTTTAGTGGGTAAGTGATTTCAACGTTTTCCTCTTCCTGTAACAAGGATGTTGAGAAGCACCGTCTTCAAGCAAGTTTTCATAATTTAGCTTGGGTAATCTACATGTTTCGTCGGATTCTATCATTAAATGATCGCATTTAGGCAGAACCTCAAAAGTATCATAGATAGCAAATTATTTCACTAGCTTTGGTCATAGTAGTTCTGCTTAATGACGCTCGCTTACGTAAACCAGAATCAAGATAACGTTTTCAAAACAAATATAAAATTTGCATGAAACAATACATGTCCTTATCTATTCATGTTACTGAAAATGAATGTTTCGTCGTTTTGTTCCTTAGTCATCTTTTATCTTGGGTGGGTTTTATCTAATTCCTCCGATGATACCGCGGCGGTGCGGTTCACGCGCTCAGTCGCTCGGTGGTGCGAAGGCGTCGCACGCGCAGACGACGATGCACGCGGACGCGGACGACTCGCGCCTCTGTTGTGCCAACTGTTTTCATCATATCAGGTTGTTTGTTCCTCCGACCGTTATCTTCACTCGAACGTCTCAATTCATTTATTCATGCTTCAATTCCGCAGGTTTCCAATGTGTACCGATAAGTGTCAGTGTCCGCGTTCGAACTTGTTTGCTGTGCTGTTGTTTGTCACTGTGGTACCTTCCCCTACTGTTTATCCGAATGCATCATGCTAATAATTCAGGTCGCAAATACATTACGTAACGGTTTGACGTAAACGAATACGTTTTGGTGTGGTTTCTTTAAATGTTTAATTATGTATTCAACAAGGATTGGCAACTCCTCGATTTTTGAAAAATTGGCATCAGTTCACAGTGGAGGAAGTGAATTTAAAATTTCAAATCTTCTGCATTAAATATTCAACATTGCCATCTTCTTAAATCCTCTTTTAGTGTTTTAAGCTTGGTGACGATTGGATAATCCATGTACTCAGAGTTTGGAGTGAAAACTTGAAGCGTTGTTTACGAGTATTCGCGATCGATGTCTTACTATGTCGTTTCACCATTTTGGTACTTCCTGAAACTAATTGTCGCTGTGATAATGTAACCAAATATTTGTTTGTCACATCACATTTGTTGTCTGTACAAATCATGATTCGTGCATATTATTTAAAATAATTTACCATTTGTCTAAAAGTTTGACAAATATTGTACAGCTATTCGAACAGCTGAAATAGCTGAATACTAAATTGTAAGTTTATTGGTTTTGTTTTAAAGTGTCCCCGTAGGTACATGGAGTATAACTCCATTAATACCTGCTTTGTAATGTATGAAGTTCCCGCCTCTGTATGAAGTGGAACCTGGCTGAAGCTAATTAACTTTCCGTAACTTCCTCGTAGTTCGGTGCCGCGAACTCTTATTTGCGATTTATCTTGCTTTCTCTTTTACTCGAAAGCGTAGTGAAACAAAACAATTTAAACATCTCAACGGGGCAGTCCGACAACTCGCAGTACTTTGCATTTTGGGAAATATAAAAGAATCCCTTTGTGGTAACATTATTATTTTGCAAATACTTCTAACAAAACAACCTTATGTCAGTGTTATCAATTCTTTAAAATGTACGTTATCTTATCTCGTGTATTCATTTTGTACATACCATGCGAAGATAATTAAATGCTTCGTAACGTATTTACAAATCACTTTGGATAGGAGCTCCAGCTGTAAACGGCCGAATTGGATCGATGTATCGAATTGGACGGCTCGAGCTTGGTGTCGTACGGCGGCAGGCTGGATGAATTCATTATCTAATTGATATGTAATTAGAGTGTCGTTGATGGTCGTGGCGCGTCGGTGTGACAGGCGGCCGCCGGTTGCGGGCCCGGCAGCCGACGCCGCACTCGTACAGCCGTACACACATACGCGCGCTCATTACAATTACAACATTATCGCGACTGTATCTCGTCTGATACCGCTCCTTGCTGACCGTCCCCCGATCAGATTATTTACTCCTTCGAAATAGAACTTAGATAACAGTGTTTGTGCACATTATGTATGTGAGTCAGTGTACACGTGATCGCAGCAGTGAACGTGTGTGACAGTGATGGTAGCTCGACGTTGCAACTATGTGGAATCAAGTCGTTTGTGTGAAGTAAGTCCCGAGTGCTGGCCGGTTCCGCTGTATTGTGACGTGATCTGATCTGGTGTGAGTTACGCAACACGGTTCGAGAGGTTCTGAACGTTGGTTGTTGCAGTTAGGGATTTTTTTGTCGGTGGTCGTCGGAGTGCGACCGCAATGCGGTGACAAGTCCTTGGTTACACGTAAGCTGGGCCGCTCGTCCAGACTTGTATATTATTATAATGAAATCATTCGTACAGATACAATACGTTAATGCCCGCAAGTTGTCCACAAACTTTATCTATAGGTACAGACCTTGTATCGATATTATTAATCACAACCATGAAACCTTTTCATGTGGGTGATAACTGTCTCGATTCGTTTCAATGTTTCAAGTTTCTGTGCATCGTGTGAATTTTTGTTCAGCCGTGACAGTGACAAACAAGAAGTAACTTGTTCATTTTTTATGATGTTCCGAACTGAGACGCCTTGTTGAAATATTCAGTGGAATAAACTCGAGCTACAGGGTAACTGAGTAAGGCCATAAACTAAATAATGAAGCCTGCTCGTTACCATTAGTCATCGTATGCTGTTAATGTTTGATAAGCAGTGTATTTCGTTTTCCGGTATGCATCAAGTTAGTCCATCTGCTAATTATGAGCTCATTTAATATTATTTTACAAATGTAGGTTAAAACGTTACGTGGTGCAGCTTTGAAAAGGCTCTATTTTGATTCTATTCCTGCTTTAATATTATTGAATATAATATAAGTCTTACCAACTTTAGATTAGTTTCGGGTATATGAATTGATCGTGCTTAGTAGTTTCGTAGTATTGAAGTCCGTTTGTAGTTCCGGGTACCTACCATCGGTTCTGAAACTTTTGTGTAAGCCTCTAAGGAATGTTTTACGAGCTACGGAATACGTTTAAAGCTGTGATGAATCTATTACTACGTAGGTATTAGAGTCTACTTTCTATTTCCAGTGTTTCTGCGCATTCAGTGAAAAAATTAATCTCTTATGCATATACGCACTAACCTATCTTCATGTTTATGAACAAGCTATTTCAGTATTTTAGAACTGAGTATTTATTTATTTTTGTTAAATTTAATAAAATTTACAGCGATCTAATCGTCAGTTAAATAACTTAAATTAAATTAAGTATAATTAATCGATTCTATATATTTCTCTTAGCTGCTAACACTTACGATACAATTGATTGCATCTTATTGGCAAGTTTCTAATGGAGACTTAAGTACATAATTTATTTATATTTCTTGAAATATACTCGGCAAATATACTTGTGGAATAAACCGTACATTTTTTGTTGGTGAACAAGTAGGACAAAAGAAGGCGCACTGGTACTTTGAAACTAATATCAGAATTGATTCGTATTATTCGTAAACAATCCGATAAACCTATAATTGTATATTGATCTGTTGTCAATGTCTATCAATATACGATTTGACTTTGGACAGATAAAATATTTGCTACAATTGGTACTTGCCAAAATAGAGACATGACTAACATCATAAGAGCCATTGGAAGGAGAGTAAAAGAGAGAAATAGATGAAAGAGAGAATAGTCCTTTACACTTTATTATGAAATGTAATGGCCACTAAAGCTCAGTCTACCTACCATATAGAAGTGTATGTACCAATGCTAATTTTTGATAATGAATAGGTAAAGAAATCAAGTAAAATTCAAAGTCTTTGGCTATATATAGTACGTGGATTCAAATTGGTAGATAGAGTAAGATAAAGTGACTGGGGAGAAATATGGACTTAAGAAAAAAGGAGATTTCATAAAAAATCTTGAATTGGAAAAAATCAGATTTAGTATTTGTTATATTGAAGAAAAAATTTATCGGGCGACTATACTGGGGAAGTTGGGGTTGTTGCAGTATTCAGATAGTTGACCAAATAAGTTACTATGACAAAGGATCCAATTAAAAGACGCAATCGACGAGCCCTGCACGTAGCCTGTGTCTACCTCAATGGGAGCCCAGCACAGTGATGCTTATGCATGTAAAACAAATTCACATTTTGTCAACGAGGCTACGTCACTGTATATTAAGATTTACAGCGCCCGCTTTAAAACCAGAAGTGCATAATATCATACTTCACTATTATCACAAGTCCCAAGGATCACATTTGATTGTCGGCCATACGCTATCTTGCTAGGCTATGGTTACAGAACTATATATGATGTTATATTATAGATACCTTAAATTAGACTCTCTATATTCAGTTGAGTTGTAGATATTTCACAATCTAGATTAGATTATCCAAATTGTATCGAATGCCATATCGATAATTTGCTTTATTTTAACTCTACTGTTACCGCATCACTGTTTAGTTGGTAAGAGCTATACAAAAATAGAATACTCGCACATGATACAAAATACAACTAAATTGCAAAGCCAGTTGCAATGAGTTGAAGTTATAAAGCTCATGACTATCATCTTTGGATCAGCTCAAAAGATGAATAAGCAAATATAGTATAATCTAAATCAAACAATAAAACTCCTGTACTACACATTGAGAGGTATATTTTCTAAAAAAACGAGTACATAAAAAGGATGACAAGTAATGTATGTATCAAATTTTTGTGTTTCAAATGTGATCTGTAACTGAGTGTGTCAATCAAATACGAGGAAAACTATTATTAGTAGTGACGCACGATATAATCCAGTACATGCATTGCGGTTTTCATATTGGATTACTTATATAAGTATATGTAGTTATCGTGGTACATAGTTGGCCATGGTCAGCGTAAGACGCTGTGCCTAAATCATAGCAGATGTGAATCCTGATACAACACTGACAGTGTCTAATAGCTCCGCTCGTTACTGAGGTTAACCGCAGCCCGCAGCCCGCAGCCATACCTACAACCTACAGACTACTGACTGATGTCGGAACAAGCTCGAGTTGCTCGTGCTCGCCTAAGTGAACACAATCTATGCAGGACTTTCAATTAAGCCGCACATACAAGTACGGACTTAAATAGTTACCAGGAAACATTACAAGGAATTCAAATTATTATACTCGTAAAGCATCGCCCGCCGCTCTGTACCTGTTTACAAAAACGTCATTTAATATTTCGCCGGACTACCCGGAATTCCTCTCGTTTTGCAGAAAACGTTAAACTCCCTTTAGAAATGTATGCACAAAAGAGAAATACTGTACAGCTTGAAATCATCAGCTCAGCTCATTCAACTCATTTATATCAAATAAATTATAAAAGGTTTATTAAAGTTGTTTCGTCGGAAATTGTATATTTCAAGAATTCAAATAATTTTAGAGCACACTTTGTGTAAGCACCGGAAAATTAATCGCTAAATACTTATGACTAGATAGTTGAATAGTATCTTGTTTACGCTTCTTACCTAACGAATTTTTAATCATAATCATGTTTATACTTTGGCCCTTAAGCTGATTTTCGTTCAATAGTCAACACTCTTTTTCTCTTCGCAAACAAATAAATCAAGGATTTTAAAAACATTATATTTTGAAAATCTAATTTAAAATGGATCAGTAGTATTAAAAATTAATTTGCACAAATATTTTCTTATTACAACACCTCTGTATCTAAAAAACGCTGTAGCACCTGTGTATCTAAAAAACTTTTCTAAAAACCGCAATAAATCCTTTGATCATGTGGAATGTAGGTAGGTGGGAAACCTGATCAGTTATTGCCGTTTTACATGCTTCATCATCATTGAAACCTAAACCAAAGGTTTGAAGATAAATAGGAATAATAATAAGTCTGCTCTCAAGGGTCTCTTTTCCGTCTCAGGTATTTTCATTGCATCTTAACTAGATGCAATAATCGGTAAAGATTATTAAAAACTTTAACATTTGTCATTTTGTTAACCATTCGATTTTATCCCCCGTTCATAGGAAGCGATGGCTAGGACTACGCAAACAGTCCCAAACCAAGACCGAAAAGGGTGCCAGCGGCGCCCAGTCGCCAGCTACTACTGATAAACCTGTTCCACTTAAAAAGATTCCATCAGACAAGAAGCTTAAGGTATGTAAATATACTCATATGCATTTATCAATATCGACATTGTAACAATTCTCTTATTTTTAAATTAAGATGTAATAGATTAAACTAGACATGTACTTAGGAAACTCTATCTAGTTACAATATCATTATGAGTCAAAAGTTAGTATTTCTCCCTTAAAAAGTGTCATATTTTGACGCGGTCTCATGTCGCGACAACGCAAAGAAAAGCTAATATACGACTTGAGATGTATAAGGGTCAATTCACAGCGAGACGCGTTACGACATGATGGCACTGGATAAATACGCCTCCAGACCGCTATAGGTCTTTTTAAATCATATTGTGAATATCGCAACGAAACGTGTATCTTTTCGCGTAGAAAGTAAATTGTATTTTGAGCCGCTCTTAAAGTGCACGAACTGCATTGCGCTGTGAGCTGATCCTTAAGTAAAGGTTTAGACATTATCGTCGCTCATCCATGGCGAGGGAAGTGTAAAATGTTATTATCGCTTGCAGATTTATTGTTTATTTAATACATATACTATTACATATTTTATCCTGCATAGAAAAATAAACAAGAGTTAATCCTGTCCATTATAAAGAATGTATAATTAACAATTTAATTTATACAGCTGCCATATACCGCGGCGGTTAGTGATAATGGTCGGACCGATGACCACGACCCAGGAAAAGGAGTGCCTGGTGTTCTCGATGAAGCTGAAGATGAAGCTGCTGACGTAGAGCTACCACCGCCAATGAAACCGCTACAGGTATAATTGTGTTTTGAACCTTGTAACCCGAGTGACGTAGCGCTCACTCTCCGAAGTGGATTGTGTCAAGATCAAATCCATCAGCGTCGACCTACCCACTCCAATCAGAACTTATCCAAGCAAATTATTCGACCAAAGGGCTGTCTGCTCATATCTGAAGCATGTTTGCACTACTCGAACCCTTAGTCTATTTTGGTCGACCTAACTGAAGGCTTACATTATGAAACGAATATTTTAACGTTACATCCCAACAGAAATCAACATTTTAAGCTGACCAATGAATTAGCAATTAGGAAACTCGAACATAATTCCGGCAGATTCATGAGTAAACAAACAAGAGTATAGAATGTTGACGTTACATAATGTTATTCAGTTATTTACCGGAGTTAAGTTTACATATATTTAACTATAACAAACTTTGTGGAACGCTTCATCTTGGAAGGAATCTTGGGAGTGTTAAAATTGTGTCTAGTCCCGACATGGCGTGAGTTATTGTCGATAGACAGCTAACAACAACTACGTGACAAGATTTGTGAATACTTGCACTTGCAGGCAGAAACTTCTTTACATCACGTCTGCCACTTAGCCTCGATTCGCTTCCGCAGATATGTAAGGGCTTCCACTGTAATCACAAGCTGCTCTTATAGCGTGACTTAACGATGTCGCATTGAACTCGGCGTTCATACCATTAAAACTCTTTCAACGAGTTCCGGATAACTTTTTACTGGAGTGAGCAAATGCGTATAAAGTTTACGCCATGCGTGTTGTGCATAGCGGCGATGAAGATTGGCATTTGCAATATGAGATTCGAAGTTAGTTCTAAGTCGGGCTTGTATGGATTTTTAAGATCGAACTGGCCCCCTGTCGATTATTGTGTTATCCGTCTACTAAGAGAGGAGAGAGAAATAACAACACGTGTAAATATGTTACTTTTGTATTTGAATTTGTTCTGTACATCGCGCCTTTAACATCTAGTTCAGTACGATGTTAGGTGCCTTAATCAATACGATAGTAAATTAAGCAATAATGTTTTGACACCATTGAATCTCCTCCTATATAATCACTCCTGGTATGTAAGTTTATATAAAACATTATCGGTTTATTATTTTATTCGATGTAGTCCAGTCGTGTAATGCATAAGTAAGGTGCATGTTTTTCAACGCGGAAGCCATTTAGTGAATAGATATAATTCATAACATTTAAGAGTTTTAAAGGGAACATCGTAATTTGTCAATTTTCATAAGTTTCAAACGTTCATTTAGAACTTTAATAAAAAAATCTCTTCAGTTTATATTTGAAAAGTTATGCCAAACTATCACATGGGTCTGTTATTCGTACTGGTTGAGTAATTACGGTTTAAACCACGATTTTCTTTGAAAAATCCTGGACCAGGGGGCGTATTACGATCTCTTAATTCCAGTCAATTTACACCTTAAAATGAACTGCCTTGTTTATCTGTATTATGACGTCTTATTGCCAGTCAGTTAGCAGTCACGTGACACTTGACCGATTTCTGCACGTATATTGGCTGGCAAACCCGTATTATGACCACCAAACTGATATTTCTTAGCTTGCTCAAATGTCAAAAATTGTGTCAAACAAACCAGTCAGTTTACGCCGGTGCCGAGTAGCTTTTACTGAATTGTTTTAAGTTTTTATCACATACTGTTTACTACAACATTAAATATGTGTGATGAGTTACTAATCCTCGAGTTTCTTGAAAGAGATGCGTCACAAGATAACCACCAAACAAAAATTCAGAGGACGCGTCTTTGAGATCTTAGTGACCCTTTTGCGATTGAAGATGTTGAATTTATTTTATTATAAATAATGTAGGTAATACTTACACCATTATCGAGTAGACAATATTTATAAACAACTTTATAATAGGGATCCTGTAAACGGATTCCTTTGCTCAACAAAGTAAAACAGTTTTAGTTCTTCTTCTTTTTTAAAAAAATAAATGGACTTCATTAGTTAAAAAACCCAAAATAAAAATTTTTTGTTATAATAATATAACAAAAAACTTTTATTTTTGCCGGGTGAGCTGTTATCACCTATCCTACTTACCATTACTTACGTTCAGAAATGTAGCGTATGTCAAAAATGTATGTTGTGAGACAGTGCCGTATTTTCATATTTATGACATTGTACTTACGCATATAATACATAATTCGTTTTTGAACTCATTCTTAATCTCGATTCTGTTAGAAAATTACATTATATAATTTATTACATTCAATTTTCAAAAACCGTAATAATCCAGTAACCCTTTTAAGATGTTTTCGAACGCAATCTTTCAAGACGGTGCAAACCAACCACAGACAATCATCCAGGATGAATCTAGTCAGAAAAACGTACGTCATAATACGAAAAAGAACCATGCAGTTTACGGCCTTATACTGACCTGCCAGGAAACAAACTGGATTTTAAAAAGGTTGTAATACGCCCCCTGGTCCTTTCCCTTGTCCCTATTCTGTATTCGATTTGGTGTAGACATCCAGGGACACCCTGTAGATGTTGCGGGTGACGTAACGGTAAACAAAATTAGATCGTGTTTAGTCTATAAAACGTTTGTTTTACTTCTTCAATCACGTTATACGTGGAGCGAAATACCACGGTAAGTTAACCGTACTAATAATTACATGGAAAACTGTCTACGAATATTTTCTTTGTTTAACATTTTGTTCTGTATTTCGATGTTAATACTATAGAAAACGAAAACTGTTTTAGTAATTCTATTACTAAACCATTTTTCATGTTTAAATGTTTATGTTTTATATAGATTTCTATTCAAGTGCACTTCTTACGTACTTAATATTAAGACTTTAGCACTTTCCTATTACATATAAAGTCAAACCATTCATAAACTTTTCCAATGAAAAGTTGAATACATCGTTACGAAATATACCAGAAACCAGTGGACAATACTATACATTTCTTCTTCTCTGTGTATTTAGTGTATGGTAATGCATGAGCGGCACGTTGTACCGAAGTACCGCGCAGTGTATACTATTACTAAGCATGTGATGTGTTCTGTCAGAACCCGCAGTCGGTGCTTCAGCAGGCACCGCAGCCTGCCGCCGTGACCGCGCCGCCCGCCGCGCGAGTAAGTACCCACACCTCGGCTCTATGCTCACTCACCACTAACCCACACTTACAAACTCGGTCTCTCTCGGGAATCTGGTATACTCATACTTGGCCTGTGTACCGGGCGACATTTTCAGAATTCTATGGCTATGGATGCCATGGACAGTAATGGAGGAGCCGCTGATATTGACGAGATCATGAAAATCGTCAGTTCGAGAATGGTTCGGCTCTATATCAGTGCATGAAGTTTGCATGTTTGGGATTTCATTAGTTGCATTACCCGTACTGTTCAACCATGTTCTCTTATTTACGCCAATGCACTCAAGCAATGTCTCTAGAAAGCAGTTGCATTACCTTGTATATATGTAGGTACATTATGTGTAAGATAACGAACGAGCACCTTGCTTCACTTACGAATAGACTGACGTTTCAAAAGTTTGGTTTAGGTGGAATAAATGATTTTGACTTTAAAGTTGAAAAAATATGAAATCACGTCTATATGACAGATTTTGTAAGAAACTAAAAAAATACCAAGTGTTCTTCACATGTCGAAAACTGAAAAAAGGCGTGTCGTGACGGAACTCTGTTAGCAAATTAGTTTTCATTCGTGGTCAGTCCAGTCATCCAGTTAGGATGTGTCAACCCCACCGTACCTTGTACTGAAGTGTTCGCATACCCTTAAATATTGTATCTAATTAATAAATAACATTAAAAAAATATAGCATTTTAAGTTATCTCCGAAGAATGTACAAAACGTAGATTGAAGATTTTGTTTTATCTTGTCATTTGGCAGTTGAATCCATTTTATTTCTTGCATTCAGATGCACAATGATATTTTGAGCAAAAAATAATGAGATAGGTGTTAAATCGTTATTTGTAAAAATGTCTAACTTAATTCTTTTGCGGAATGTTTTACTTGCTATCACACGAGGCGTGTCCATAAGAATATTTGAATTCGTGAATAAAAATTAAAATCTTTGATCACTTGATTGTTATAATTATACATAAGTAGGTACATCGCGTTTACGCGGCATAGGCTTTCATACAAAATTACTCAAGTCAAAATCGTGGAAACTACTAAACCGATTTTAATTAAAATTGCTTTTCATACGAAATAATATAAAGCATAAAAAGGTTATTTACGAACATTTCCGATGAAATTTTAAAGAAACGTTATTAAATTCACGTACTTTAGACTTGAACGTTCATATGAAACCGCTTGTCTCTGTAAATGCTTTTAAAGCTTTCTGTAAACACAAGAAAGTTATTTAAATTATGTACGCTAGTAATGAAAGACATTCGTAGTATTCGCAACCGAGTGTATTTATGGAATAACAGCTTTGAACAGTATGCGGTGCAATGATTGTGTAGAAAATTTTCTTTCACGTTGTTCTTTGATAGAGTCGGCAATATTTATTTGATTATGCTCAAACAAACATCAGCTTCAGAGCGTGTGTGAATACAGTTGTTGTTGACAGCTCATTTTTATTTCAATATGTTGAAAGTCGCTTCGTATCGCATGCGTTTGTTTCACTACGCCTTTATTTCGATTTTAGTGTCTTGCATGGTTTTATTTTGTGACCTAGCCGGTTAGCCGCCCAAATATTTATTCAATACACCATCGTATTGAGAAGTTTACTCAAACGTGTGAACCGTTTGAATTTGCATTCAGTCTATTTTTCAGAGAAAAATTTTACTAGTGCAACGGTTCACTCCGCAATTATCACGTGCTAAACGAATTGATATGTCGATGATGGTTTTTAATTGAGAAAAAATGCATTTAGTTAAGCACATTATAAAAGTTTGGTAGCTTAATTACAAAAACAGTACATTTCGACGATTCTACTTTTATATGTACCGTTTAGGAGCAGCATGGGGTTGCTTCATCATCTGGCAGGAACGGCGAGGAAGAGGAGGCGGGCCCTGTAACACCCGGCCCGAACTCCTACGAGGACATTCTAAAGAAACGAGAGTACGTGCTGCGGGAACTGGTCGAGACTGAGGAAATATACGTGTCCGACTTACGCCTCGTGTGTGAGGGGTACATGCGCCACGTGCAGGTAAGCCGAGTAACGTGCACAATTTATCGCCACTACCGGTGTTGGTAAGAACAGAATGTATTGATGCCCTCTCATTTCTACTGATATGCTTGTTACGGTTTTACCTTTGGCTATTCTTACTACTACAAAACCTCTTATGCTTATGCATCAAACAGATGTTGAATGCACAAACAACATTTCACTTAGTGTGGCACCTTCTTATAAAAGTTCAAAGTAATAAAATTAACTTGTACATCCAAGTACTTATCTAATAAAGAATATAATATCTTTGGACCGGACACGATATAAGCTCTCCTCGATCCACACAAGGCCAAGGACTCGCAGAAATTAAAATGAAACTTCATCGATCTGACGTTTACGAGCAATTAAATTAAATATTTGTGTACAGGACCCGAAAGCCGAGCCTGGCCTGCCCGAAGGCTTGCGCGACCGTCGTCACCGAATGATATTCGGCAATATCGAGGCTATCTACGAATGGCATCGCGAGTAAGTATACCCATGTTTTATATTAACTTACTTTAATATTCGAGAGGATGGACTATGCCCCGGTTCCTATACTTAAAGTATTGTGCTAAAACAATATTTACTGTTGCGAATGTGTGCTACCGCGCTCTGCGTATGTTCTATATTATACGTGATTGTCTATCGACATAGAATCCAAATAGTTCGGCTCATTTATAACGTTCATATGTATAAATAAATATCAGTTTGAGAAAGTTTTTAATTCACAGGAAATTTTTGCCTGACAACTGTCAGACACTGACGTCGGTTAACCAGAATAGGAACATACCATCATAAAAGTTAATTTCAGAACAGTTTCACAGTTCGCGTAAATTAATTTCGCTCTGTGGTCTCTGTAATTTGAACAATAAGGGCTGAACCTAACTTGTTGTATAGACTTAGAAAAGCAAAAATATTTGTGAGTTCACAAAGTTTGTCTAGGTAGTCGTGCTGACAAGAAATGAAATGTCATATTTTAGAAAGAAGGCTATTCTCTTGTAGGGTCCATTGTAATGTAAACATACAGGTAGTAGTTGTACAATGCTAGCGATCTATTTAAATTTAGTTATATGCTTGCGCAAATAACTGTGATGCCATGTTGTATGTCCATACATGATGAAATGTTTGGTTTGTGCAGTAAATTTGTCAGGGAGCTCCAACTCTGCATAGAGGAGCCCGAGCTGCTGGGGCCGCTGTTCCGCCGATTTTTGGAGAAAAGGATGTTTCTGTATGAAGCGTATTGCCGAAACAAGCCCGTCTCGGAGTACATTGTGTCTGAGCACGACAGTTACTTCCAAGAGCTGCGCGTCAAACTCGGCCAGAAGCTGCAGGTGCGTTGGCAAACATATTGCTTACTATAAATGTAGTCATCGACGTATGCGGTCAACCAACTTAATTCTGTAAACAGTGATACTTACTAGTTACTGCCACTGATCGCAAACGTCGGTAGCTACTCTTCTACATTTCAGTGATATAATAATTACCTTCAAAAAGAAACTAAATAAATAAACTAATGCCTCTGAGAATCACCGCATGGATCATACATAAGATACTAAATTAAGTGCACAGAGCAAAGAATGGCACTCAAAACACCTTCGGGTTGACAGATATAAACATTCCTTCCTAGAGTTTACCCACACATAGTTGTACCAATGTTAATGAAACATATCTATGAGTGGTTAACAAAATACCTGATGTTGGAACTTTTATAACTGTCCTCCTGGTTGATCGATCGACACTAGTGTCATCGCATCTTTCATCTCACTATGTACATACCTTACATTGCGAGACTATCACCATATACACGAATACGCGTTGCCTATCTCTGCCTTAACGCAACGCAAGAATAAATGCCGAATATAATCCTTGTGATGGAATATGTAGCGGTCACCTCTCTGTAACAAGAGGGCCGCATGCTTTTGCCACGCCAATGGTATAAGTAATATGCTTGATTGTAGGTCCGCCTTAGGGAACGCACTTACCTCCCCGGAGCTCGCAGTACTTTATCTCAGGTACTGATCGACTCGAAAGTAACATTATCAAGCAATGCTGGTACTTTCACACTGTTCTATGTTAGAACAGTTCGGTTCTTCCACATTGGCCAAATTATTGTCTTTAAACAATTTACTTCATCAAGTTTTCCAAATTTGATATTTGGTAACAAACTATTGTTACCAGCTATGCTCTGAGATTGATGTGTAAAATACAAGTATTCACGGTTAGCGCGAGGTCCGCTAACGTGTAAATAAAAGTATGTTTCACGGAACACATCGGGCTGGCGAGTGCGAGCTCGGGAATGTGTTGCGTGTTATATATATGTGTGATGTTAGTACTGCCGCTCTATTGACAGCTCTCGACCTCAGGTATTCGCTTGCATGACAGGCTGCACTCGCTGCCACCACCACAACTCATTTACTTTTTGTTTTGGGGGATTTTATGTTTATTTCCATCACTACTCTACACGCACACGCTGCTGTATGATTGGTGTCGTCGCTTCCTGTGTCCGCATGTTCGCAGGCCTCAGCGTATGTACTCTTAACTATAACACGGGGTCGTCACATTCATTTCAGCTCGGTGACCTGCTGATTAAGCCCATCCAGAGAATCCAGAAGTACCATCTACTGGTCAAGAAGATACTGTCGTACTCTGAGCAGGCGAACGCTCCGCCGCACGTGATCGCGGCATTGCGCGAGGCCGTCGAATGCACCGATATAATTCCTAAAAACGCCAACAACATGATGGATGTAGGCCGCCTCCAGGGCTTCGCGGTAAGGATACCTTCTCATACTTTATATTTAGCTATACCTTTTATGTTACTAGCAACTGCGATATCTTTTTTATATTTAAGCAATGCGATTTTAGCGCTGCAATTATTAACATAAGGCCGAGCCGCTCAAAGCACAGCGCACAGCGAATTGTAATACTATTGTGTATTAAAGTCACTAATAATGTCTTGATTTCTGTCTTCTTTGGATTATTTTATCTTAAACAGAGGAAATGTGGTTGGCAATCTGTGCTCAGCATTGTCTATTCAGTTGAACTAAATATTAAGAGCTTCTACGAAGACCGAATTCACACAAACTTTCAAGGCATGAAATATGAAAACATTCATTCATATAATTCGCTTATTCGTTCGTATATTACAAAACAATCAAAACTATAACTTGGTACGCATTACGCAATGTATCAAGGTATTAAAGTTCTTTACCTATCCTGAAGTTCAAATAACTATTACATATAAGTAATGATTCCTGTCCATCCTAAATAATACTAGAAGACTGGAAGTTCTTTCAAAACTTAGTAAGATAGTGCTGCGCGAAATAAAAGGAAAACAAACAATGGCCGCAATATATTAGCGAGAAATATTGAAACATTTTTAATTTATCTTATTGTCATGACTATGATGAAGTACACGGTAGCAAGTTAACAAAAGAGGTTTGTGGTTCATTGCAGGGCAACATAACCGCCCAGGGCAAGCTGCTCATCCAAGAGCTGATGACGGTATCGGACATATCCGGCGGTAACGACAAGGGGAAAGAACTCCAAGTGTTCCTGTTCGAGCAGTGTATCATCTTTAGTGAGGCTGTGGGCAAAAAATCGCAGTACAGCAGCCCAACCTACAACTATAAGGCTCATATCCAGGTGAGACAGGAATGCCGTCTACTACTCAAATACTTTCGACTTTTTAGTGCTGTAATACAATACTCATTCGCTAAATCATCAACCAGGTGAACAAGATGGACATGGAAGAGGTGGAGGCTCACGGCGCCTTCATAGTCCGCACCGATGACTCCACCAAGCCAAAGGCGCTGTCATTCATGTGTCGCCCCTCGGAGGCCACGCGCACCAACTGGATCTCTACCTTAACTCATATCCTAACGCAGCAGAAGAACTTCGGAGACGCTCTCGAGAACCCCGGCGCTTACCTCCGAGAACAGTTAACCCGCGAGCCGCCTCGCGACCCCGCCGCGTAAGTAACTCGCGACTGCTACCCGGACGCTTGAATAATACCTGATAAAACATGACTTAATTACTTGGCTATACTAACAATTACCGTTACCATCGCACCCTAGTACAATAACTGCTACTCAACTAGTTTAGAACTTGTGTAACGTAATACATACAACACTTTGTAATGTACTAACCAAATATGCTATGGGCTTGTATCAATAGATGTACCTATTATATTGTAATATCTAACACCTATATTATGTTTATGGTGCAAATCTGTTACACTTTACTATAACATTCGAATAATGTAAAACCGGAGTCATCTTATATGTATGTCGTCGGCGGCAGGTCAGTTAAGAAATGTCAAGGTGCCGACAAACTGCTTCGATATGGAAAATGAAAGCTTTACATCAATCGTACTTGCCATAAGCAATATAGCGTAGTTTAAAGGCATCATTTAGCGGTCATCGTGTCCCTTTCTTAGGTTAACAATTAGATGCAAAACATTTGAAGTAAAGATCTGTAGTGAAGTGGTAGTGTTATACATGTATTAAGCGCGCGGGGCTTGACTCCACACAGGATGAATGGGGAGCACGGTGATGGGCCGCAAGGGATCATTCGAGCTTAGAAGCTAAGAGGAAGCACTAGTGCACACGTCTACACTAACAACACAATCCCACACGAAACACTCCTTCTCGAGAACGTTCGAGTGTGTCTAGGCGTGATGCCTAGTGCTTGATCTTTAAGAGAATAAAATCATTAGTAATTAACGTGGTGATGAATGAGATAATAATGTAATGTAATCGACTGCGTGATGCCAGCGGACACGAGCGCGGGAGACGTTGTGGCGACAACGTTGACTAGCGGATGTTATATTGTCCATTTTAGGTTAACAAACACTGGAATTGATATTTAGATATATATTTATTTAGATATTTTTAACGTTTATATAGGTACCTAATTATGTTAAATAGTAGCAATAATAAAGTGATGATCGACTCACATCATCCTTCGTCACAATTTTATCACTACAATCTCATATCAACATTGTAGTGATAACTCGGCATTATCACGCGACCGAGTTATGAAGTCGTTGCCTTGCGCCGCATCACGTACCCGTCTAGCAATAACATACTGCCATTTTAACGTTTACGTATAGTAAACACTGCCGAGGTTCGTCTGTTGATGTTTAGTTGTTAGTACATTGAATAGATTTAGTTGTAAACGTCTGCCAATGACGTGGTTACTCTCGATCACTGCCTATAATGATGATTATATACATGTCGTTACCAGATATTAGCACTTATTTACAAACGTTATGCAATGACGTGTCTAACGCACAAAGCCAAAGCGACGGAAGCAGCAGCGGAATGTTGGTAGGCACTACGTCGTAGATTATAATTGCTTCGACAAGTAGTGGCGTTGTACTATTGCACGGAACTGCTGCTTTCCTGTCGCCAAACTAGATCCGACCTCGCGATACCTGACTTGACACCATGTTGTCAAGTTAATCACTACTGAATTACGTAAATACTCGTTGGAAGATAACAATCAGGAGTAAGAACTGCAACGAACAAAGCAACTCCTGTGTACCGATCTGATGTATTGATAAGAACTTCTCTTATTGACTGTATGTACACTGATGTCCATCCCTACTTGTGAGCCCAGAGACGAGTATGTCTGGCTAGGCAATGTCACAGTACATCCGTGAAGGATACGCTTTCTATACTCTGACTTCCTTCGTTACGCTGTTATATTAAGACTTGTTCGCGCTGCAAAGTGTTGAGACGTTGCGTCGTTATGAATCACATCGATCAAACGATTATTTAACTTTTCGAATAGTTGTTAAGTAGGAATCGAAGAAGACTGGATATAAAGGTGTGAACGATATTTTGAATGGTCGGACTTAGAAAGTATTTACATGCTTAGGTAAGTCGCACACACCTTTCACACACTATACGCAGTAGGGTTAGTGATAGACGCCCCACGTACAATCGAATATTCTTGTCACCGCTACCTGATACGATATCGCCGGGAGACGTACACCCCGACTACTGTTCACTCTCACGGACATTACATACTACTTAGAGTTTGACGTCTACAGTAATATTACACTATATTACTCGCAATCGATGATCGTTCAATGTTTATAGCGATAATCGTGTATTGTATCAATCATTCCAGTATAATCGACATATTTATAGATGTTAGCTTCCCTATGGTTCGAGTCACCTTCAACGTAATATATGTATTTACATTGTTGTGCTCAGTTTTGTAACATACCCCTAATATTGGCTGCCACAAGAAATGAGTTGATGTCGACACTAATTGTTTGGAAATTATTGATGCATAGGGGCCAACACTTGAGTTCGTTCTGTTTGTATATGATTAGGTTATATTTCATTATATCGTGTTTTACGTGATTCCCAGGTAGTTGATAAGGATTATAATATTATCATGAAATGCTTAAAGAAATCAGCTTTGGATGTTATAATATTAGTATGTAAGAAGTCAAGTAATGTACTGTATTGTTTGCGAAGTTATGCTATGCTACTGAGGAATAAGAGAAAGAAAACAACGACAAAAGTTGGAAGTAGGTACTGGAACTGCGCTGACGCATATTGCTTGCCGCGGGCGGCGGCGGCGGGGCGCGGGGCGGCGCGAGGCCCGTGCAGTGGCGGCGTCCCCAGCCGCCTCGCGCCCTCTATACCATGTCAGCAGCCATCGCCCGCTGGTGGAATTGCTTTTAGACAGGAGCTACCCACGCTTCGTTATCGCTATCTAGTTACTACTCAATTAATTTAAACTGTACTATGATTTAGATTGAATATACTTTGAGAGACGGCACTCTCGCCGACAAATCGTTTGTGATTGCGCATTATTGTGTTACGTTCTCTGCTTGACTAAACATTATGTAAACGATACTTAATCATAATAAAATGTGTAGTTTCACTTCCACGATATTATACGGTCGTGGCTAACATGATCTGTACTAGTATATATTTTAGTATTTACGAAAAGTACTTTTGCTATTCTATTTCGACCAAAAAACTTTTAATTTCTTCGAGTGTTGCGACACTTAGGTATTATAGTTTTGTAACAGTCGTCGTATGTATATATTCGCAATCGAATCCTAAGTTTTGTATATAATATTAACGTTTAAAATCACTGTAACTTGACCATTAAATGTCAATAAAATATGCTTGTGGTTTTCTGCTTTTAGTCCCGCATGCTTGTTTATGTTTCGTTCTGTTTATGAGTTGGTGGCCAGCTTCGCTACCTGGCGCTACTAGAGATGACACTGTGCCTACCGCTGTAGTATACTAACACGACTTACTAACCAACTAACATAGTCTAACGACACCTAGCTAGAGCAAGCTCTCATTTACTGCATAGTGTATCCATAGAAAATATATACAATACTTACTATAATAATTATTATCTAATTCAAATAAATACTTATTAGAATCATGGCAAATTACACGAATTGTCCAATTACATGATGTTGAAACATAACTTTGAGTTGTTTTGCCCCTTTTATTTTTTTAATTTTTTACGAGTACTTTCTTTTTTTTACGAGTACTTTCTTCTTAAATGCATTAATAAACTAAATAAGTAATGAAATAATTAAAATCCTTTTTACGAGGTTCCCTTGAAATACTACATCATAACCAAAGTTTCTGAACTGATAATAATCTAATGTCAAGTTGAAAGTACTCACAAACACACACAGTGGTCGAAAGCTGGTGCACCCGTTTTTGTTTTGTTTTATTTTGATTTTAACGTTCCTATTCCCGTCCCGATAGTGTAGGTGAGGGTTGGTGCGGGCTTCGCAAGACGGAGAGCGTTCCGCCATCTTTAGGCGGGGTGCTGGCGCCCGAACTGCGGGCTCGCGCCCAGCGCCCTCACGCCAAGGCGAATACTATCAACCTACCCACCACTATTCGCGCCGATGAGAGGAAAAAGGGTGGCGGCAGCTCTGCCGTCAGCCCGACCTCGCCGCCGCAAGCTAATGTAAGTATGCGAAGTGATGTGCCCACTTCACTGTCACCTATTCATATGGAGCTGATCGGTGAGCGTAATGTGTTTACATGGAGTATATAAACAAACTTTAATGACCAGATCTCAGGAAAAGCAAATAAGTAAGACTCAGTGAAATTAAGATACATATTCAGTGGTCCTTTTGGAGTTATAGGGCACAGTACCAACTTATATATACTAATTCCAACTTGGTAAGTTCTGTACTTAGTTACTCTTATAAGAAAAGAAACCAGAAACTCATTAAGGGCAGTCCTTATCGCGTTGAGTAGGTAATTTCGCTAATAATTTAACTTTCATGTAAACACATTGAATCAGTGGGTAGATAACTGGAGTAACAAAACGCTAATGCTTCGAGTTGCAAAGGAAAAACCGCATTTATTTAAGGCCTATTAAAGTCAACACGGTAAACAATATCATCACACCAACCAAATAATTTGTGATTTGAAGAAATAACAACTGAGAGGCAACTAAATCTCTGCAAAAATCGTATTACTTCAAGTTCAGAGATCTAATGGGGAACTAGCTTCGCTTGCTACTTTCAACTAACCCAAATTTTGAGGGAAATATTGTATTTACTAACACACAATACGTAAGTTTTTTAGCACTGGGATTGACGATTTAAAAGACGGGCGGGTGATTCTTCACATCAATTAAAAAAATTTTAATAATGTCATTATCCTCAACCGAAAATTAACGAGTCTGCTGATTAAAACACAGATAATTATTTTATTAAATTAAATCTCACCACTGCTTACAAGCAACCTATTAAAAATATTGTATAAAATAAATTACTAAGATGCTTAAAAACCTGGGAGGATAATGACTTGTTAAATAAAAGTTAAGGTTTTTTGGAGAATCACCCGGGCACAGGATTTAGGTAGCCACAAAGTATCAGAAAGCACTGGCATAACATATGTATGTCGTATGTTTCAAACATGCAATATAGAGATATAATTACGCATTTACCGAAACCGATTGATGGTCTAATAGCAATATTAAAACATGATGATAATAAGAATTTAAGAAACGCAGGATTTCTTGATTTAGTAGAAATATTTTTTTTAACTGCATCACTATTAGACCACACAGAGATTGAAATATTTGAAACTCCTCTGTTAATAGCGCTGAGTAAATAACACTAGTTATTAAAAACTATTTGCAGTCATGTAATATCTCCTAATTTAAGAGAGGGAAAACTACTTTTGTAATGATGTACTTTTACAGATACTCCGTAATTGCCAATAAAAATATAATAAACATGTCATATAAAAGTCTTTCATAAACAACTCTAAACGACAAAACTGCTTATGGTACCGTAAAACGGAGTGAATAGAATTTGAGGGGTGAATAGATGTTGGCGAATTTTCCTAGTATCTATTCACCCCCCCTTCTGTTTCAATTCACCCCGTCTCACCGTTACAGAGTGCAAGATAACGCTGTTCAAACTACAGCTAAACAAATGTCATAAAATCACACTAATAATTTCTCGAATTAAACTTAGGACCTATTTTGCAATGTCTATACCGCGACTATGGACCAGATAAATAACAAAAATAGAACGTAATATGTATGAACTACATCTGTGCTGTATAGGTCATAGGTCTATTGGGAACTTTATACATATAAAAGTGGTGAAACAGGCATGATATGCGATCACTTCTAAAACTATAGTCTTATCTAAAATCGAGCATAGATCAGGACTTTTACTGAGAATTTCAATTTAAACCGTGTTTTAGCAAAGCAGCTGGCGAATTTGATAGGGACTCTTAAACTACGGTATAACAACTGAGATATTATTTTAAGTTACACAGGAATGATTAATAAATGATAAATAATTTAATTGGTAAGTATCAGAAGTGTACTAAGGAAAATACCTAATAATGGATACTTTGAAACTGTGTACTGAAATACTGAAATCCTAAGTAAGGGTAATAACGCAGTAAGCCGCTGCCTAAATAAGGGTACATGGGCCCGTCTCCAACTCCAACTGTCCCGAAGAAAGATACGTACAAGCTATTCCACAATTACTTGGTATATAAGAAAATAAAGATTGAACATTTACCGAGGCAGTGGTTCTTGTTATACAAAGAGCCTTTTTGGCAATGTCTGCTGGCTAGAGTGAATAGGTTCTTAACAAACTAGTGCGAACATCAAAGATTGCATCACTTACCTTCAGGTGGGATCGCAGTCAAGCACTAGTTTATATGATTTAAGATAAATAAAAATAAAAAAAGCCTGAATAGTCGCTATGACTGTGCCCAACGTAAGTTCATCTGGATTTAAAGGTGGTGAAACAGACTCGTTTATGAGGTTTTATATGTAGCTATTTCTTTTATCCCGGGGACGGCTCGGAATGCAATGGGTACTATTTCCCTACTTTGGTACCAGCTTACAAAATTATTGTGAAGACTGCACGTCGTCGTATGTATAGATTTGTCAAAAAAAGTTTTGATTTCAGTTATTATCAAAAAACGGTGTCTCTGACACCCGGTTTCTGAAAGGCTTGTCAACGCTAAAATTAACTAATCTCCTGTTAAATCTCTTGTCAAGTCATCTGATTGGTTGTTGATAATTCAGTCTACCAATCAAATGACTTGACAAGAGATTAAATTGATTTTAACATTGATCGGCCTTTCGGAAACTGGATGTTAAACAGTGAAAACTGCTCATAACAAGATATAAAAACAAGAACAATTTCCTGTAGTTTACATATACACAACAAAAACGAGCATTTACAGAGCAAAAAATATTTAAAAAGCAATGGTAAATAAAATAATCCTGTCATTCTTTGCAGTATAGAACCAAAAAGATAGTATCATCAAAAATATATTCTGAATTATTGTAATATTTTTAATAATAAAGAAACGACTACTATTGTTCACCCATCCAAAGATCGCCTAGATAAATGTAACATACAGGCTGGTACATTTTCAGTGTGTCTTTAGTAACAAGCAATATAATATTTAAACAATTTAATACATTTTTCCAGATAAGCTTTATCTGTAGACCCGTGTTTCACTAGTATCACTAAATGTATTTAGATTCTGATTTGAAACAATCTTGTAGGCAATTAATTAATAATGTTTATCGCTAGACACCTTTATTATTATTTGCTGTCTTTTGTGTGTTCCAAAACTATGGTCGCAGCACGCTCCGCTTCTTATTACATTGTAACTACGCTTATCTTCGACTCTTTATTTTTCCAGCCGTTTTCATTAAAACTTTTAACTATGGTATCTGCTATGTACTTAGTTTAAGTGCACAAACACATATTGCACATGTTTAGATATATTTATGTGTTTTCTCTTCTTTTATATATTTTGGGCGCTTATTCTTCTTTGTTGCATGTCTTATTTTAACGCTTGTCTATATTTCTTTTGTTGTAGGTGTGATATACACGGGATTGCATTTCTAACATAGACTGTGATAGCGGGCCGTTTGACTGACGCGCAACTAGTAATGTGCTAAGTGATTTGGAATAACCGCCGTTGACTTTTAAGTTTAATTTATTCATGTAAATAGTAGATGTAACGAATGTATCGGACGATGCCGACGGTGTGGAGCGCGGGTGAGCATGCATGTGACGCTTGTGGCGTAAGAGCCGTTTCCCCGTCGGCACCGCGTCTACACTGTCTGCGTATGGCAGGGCTTGTCGAAGCGGCCGTGGGGCCTCAAGCTGCGGCGCGGCGCGAGCGCCAGCACCACCGCCGGCAGCGGGGCAGCGGAGCCCGGCGCCGAGGGACTAGTCACCGAGCTGCGCGCCCCCGAGCTCTCCGAGCCAGCCACCGACGTGATGGTCACGCCTGGTGCCACTGCCACCATTTCGTGCCGAGCTGTCGCCACTCGCGCAACTGCATCTTGGCGCAAGACGGCGTCAGAGACTCATGCGCTACGTCACGGCGGCCGGTTTGCTATATCGATGACGCCAGACGGTCTCGCAACATTGACAATACACGCGTGTCGCGCGTCAGACGCTGGCGTATATTGCTGCCTCGTCAGCAATGAACTGGGAGGAGTGCAGAGCTCCGCGCGACTTACGGTGGGGGCCGGCGGAGCGCCTGGTGTGCCGACAGTACGGGCGCACCCTGGCGGGGGCCTGGTCATACAGTGGGACGAGGCGAGTCCTGCGCATCTCGAGTATTGCCGCGTCGGGGAGGGAGAGTGGCGACGCGCTACCGAAACTCCTGCTGCGGCTAATACGCTCGCGTTAGAAGAGTTGCCTGCGGGGCAGTATAGTTTCCGACTGATCTGTACGCGAAGCGGTGCGCCCGGGCCTGCATCGGGCCCGGCGGCGTGCGGCGGCGGCGGGGCGTGGCAACGCGAGCAGTTCGCGCGCCGCTACAGTGTGGAGGAGGAGATCGGCCGCGGCAGGACGGCGCGGGTACTCGCTGCCAGGGACACCGGCACTGGACAACGAGTAGCATTAAAACAGGTTAGTACTCGAACACATTGTTTACAATTGTCGAATAAATTTATCCAGTCATGATAGGAATGAAACTTGTATTAAATTAAATTCCTAAACGTCTTTGTACATACATGTACTATATACATAGTAGTAGTCTAGAAATATCTGATCAAAAATATCGAATTTCTATAACTATTTTATTTTAACATTTTCTACCA